CTCCCAGAGGAAAGTGTCTTTCTGCCTTTTCAAGAAGTATAGTACCCAAATAAACGCTCCTATTAATGAGAAGACATTGAAGTCCTCCAGAAAAGGAGACAATACTACCATTCCCCTAGTCACTCATTTCAATCTTTCACATATCAGTAACAATCGGGTTCAGGGAATCATAGAAGGGAAGGAACCAAGAGTGAATTCAACATTCTGATACTTACCTGGAAGCCCTTAAGCCTTGGAGATGAATTTCCTCTGACGGTAAGAGTTCTCAGTGCCTGGCTACGTGAGGTTGTAAAAGATTTAAAAACTGAAGTTGTTTCCCCACACTGGAAGGAAAATTAATCATGCAAGTCAATGATGTGCCTGAATTCAATGGTTGGGAAATTCAAGGGAAAGAGGAAACATAAAGAGACTAATGAAGACCACAGGCAAATGGTCTGAATAGATAAGGGGCTCTGCTGATGCTGCACTGCCTCACCCCTTCTGGCCTGTTATGAGACAACTGGAAGTTGAATCAAGAAACTATGGGATAAAAAAGGTTAGAAGCATTGAAGCAGGGAGCCACCATTGAACCTGATGGAGTTCTGTGCAAAGCAGCCATCCCCACACCTTCAGTGGTCACGCACATTTTCCAGTTGGGAGAATAGCTACTAGATGTTGAAATACCTACCATCACTTGCTGTCTTAGAGAGTGTATATTAAATCCAAAGTTCTCTTGTTCTTTAAAAGTTCAATTCAATAAATTTATGAAGTGCCTACTATGTACCAGGACCCTTAAGGAGCTCTAATGGGGGAAGACAACACACAATAGAGTTGAAAGGGGGGTGGGGAACCAAGGGGTATGAAGTTCCATGAAGGTGAAGTCAAAGAGAGCAGCTGATGGAAGCTGGTGAGACCTCTGTAGATGGAGGCTTTGGGAGGAGTCTGATACTCCACCCCCCCAGTCAGAGGGGAGAGAAAACTGAGAGTAAGCTGAGAAGGTATTGAGCATTCAAAACCCAAATCAACCTGCCTGGTGATAAGTTTCTATTTGATCTAATTAGCACTACAGCTATCACTTCCGTGTTGTGGGGGTTAGGGGTGCAGCACCCCTGTGATCTGAAAAATCTGTGTAAAAATTTTTGGCCCTCCATACTAGAGAAGAAGTCTTAAGTTTTTTTTTCTTCCTCTTTTTCTTTTATGGTGTGTTTACAGTATCTTATTGTAAAATTGGGTTAAGTATTTGGTCAGAGGATCTGCATCGTCTGCTGGCCTTCGCACGTCATCTGCCGCTTCCACAAAACTCCCCAAATATTCCCATTTAATTTCTTATGCTGACTCGAAATGTATGGAAACTGTAATGGGAAAAGTCATGATGTGAAAGGGATAACTGTAATGCCAACTCAGCTAAGGATGTGATCAATCACAATTTGTCCAGTTTGCATTTTATCATTTGTGAATAGGGATTTGCAAAGGAGGGAACAGTAACTGGCACTCTATGCAAAGAGAGCGAAGAGGATAGAGACCAAGGATCTTCTCTGTCTAAATTTGTTGGTAGAAAAGGAGTTTTTCCTCCCTGGCAGCGGTCTATATGAGAGGGAATTGTGTTGATTTTGATATTTCTATGGACTTCCCAAAGCTATGTAAAACATGAGTCTAGGGTTTCCTTTCAGTTTGGTGGTCTAGTGGGGGCTAGGCTGTCACACTGAGCCCAGCTCTTCATTCCTTTGTTTTCCTTCCACCCTCCAGCCCTCAGATACATCCCTTTGAAGAGGCAAAGTCAAGGACAATAGCTAGAGAGTAGGTCACTTCTGGTAGGAGAAAGAAGTTACTTAACATTTCTACATTCCAAGATGGGGACCAAAAGAGAGGGAATAAAAAACCCTTCCCTGTTGGAGTAGTCTAGAAAGGGAGTTTTTCTGCAAATAATTCTTACAGATACATAACTCCACCCCACAGACAATACTTGGTAACCAGGCTTTTCGTTTTTGGTGTAAACTTTCAGCCAGGACCATAGGCATCTCTTACTGTTGCCTTGTGTGCATTTTTTTTTTAAGATTAAAAACAGTCAACTCTTTGTCTGTGGCAATAAGAGAGAAGGACTCAAAACTGAAAAAAAAAATATAGATATAACCCAGTTATCATTGCTCATTGTTTCTGTGGGGATGTATCAGGCAGAATAATGTTACAAGAGCCAATGAGTTACAAAGAATCAACGTTACAAATGAGCAATGAGTATCATTTAGCAGTACCAGGGAGGCAGTGAGAGGAATGTTATGAACTGTACTTATACTATTGGGAGCATAGATACAGATAATGCCTGAGAAGTCTCTGCAGGATTTAGGCATTCACAGAAGGAAGGGGAGTGCCCATGGCACCAAGCAATGATATCTCTAATGGCAATTAAGATTTCACACAATTTTCACAGGGATCTTGGAACTTAAAATTCTGCCACTGGCTGAAACCAAGAGAGTATTGTTAGCTAAATTTGTAGTTATTTGCCTCCCCAAATTTTCTGTCTTATCACCTAAAACTTATAGTTAGCAAAGAGACACCAACCACCGCTAATGCATAATGGTAACTATAGTGGGGCATCATCTTATGAAGTAATAGGACTTGACAAGTAAGAACAGGGATACTGAGAACATAGAATTAGAAAGTTCCCTGAGAAAGCTTTCTTCCTGACTTTTCAAGTAGTACAGCATCCAAACCATCTTAGGTCAATGAGAAGAAATGACTTTATAAAGCCCTCCAGAGAAGGAGTGAATCCAACCACTCCCCCATCCCTTACTTCAGTGTCTCATACATCAGTTAATAATAGGGTCCAGTGAAGCACAGAATTGAAGTAGTTCTAGGCAATTCAGTGATAGACTAATTTTGATATAAAATATCCTGATGTTTGAGGCACATGTTATCAAGGAATAACCAAGTTATCCATTGGTTTCCTCTGTTCTCTGTTTATGGGAACACATATGACCATGTTTGTGCTGGCACTGGGTGTCTTCTATCTTGAGTTCCCATTACTAGATATTAAAGGGTACAAGTAGAGTCAGCGTACATGGGTCATCCCTCCTAACTCGTGGCCAGTTGGGCAGGAGAAATTCCTCTAGCCTGAAGCTAGGGGAGATCATGCTAGCCTTGGTTTTTAGCCACATCCCTCTACCATTTGGTTAGCCTCTTTACTACTGCAATCTAGTACGGAAAGGGCTCCCAGATGTCCATATAAATGATTATATAAGTTGACTCTAATTTGGGGAAGATTTTTTTTTTGTTTAAAAGATTAATAAGACCTCCAGATGGTCCATGGGTATGCTAAGTCAGGTTCTCACCTTTGCACTTTTCAGAAACAGAACTGGGTCAAATACCACCACTCAGTACAATCAAAAATTCACAGCTTTATTCATCATAATCATTCTTTAAGTATTTAAACAGGAAAAAAATTTGTTTTGGTTTTTCCACAAAGGCCTGACAAAAGACAAGAAAATATCAGTCACAAAATATCCCAGTGAGATGCACAGTAAAAAGCACAGACTTCAAAATAGGTGAACTGTATACTATGAAAACATCAGATCATTTTTAAAGTGACATTCAGTGTATCTTTTATGCTCATAAATGCCCTCCTCCATCCTTTCCATTCACCCACCTACCAATTCCAACTTTCATCTGGACTACTGGCCATGCAGAAGGCATCCATTATAATATAAACTTTCAAAAGGAGCTTCTCAATCACACACACACACACACACACACACACACACCAGAAGGAAAAGTCCAATTATCATGCTCCTCTTGGTCCCACAACTCCAAATTGTGTTCAGTTCAGATACTCCTCCTTCATTGCGATTCTTACAATATCACCATCCTAATTGGGGCTAAAGGCAAAATCCTGTCTCTTAAAGATCACCTCCCAACTCTGTTCTCCAAGTTAAAAAGAGCTTTAAGCTGCCATCAGAATCCATCCTTTGACAAGACAATGGGCAAACCTGTATTTGTCCATGCCTTATAGCAGCTGTATCTTACAATGCTTTCTAAGTCCAGGTGAATGGGTGGAAGGGACATGAGCTGTTCTATGTCTGTTTGGAATTATGAAAGGGCATCAACATGCCATGGTTGAGAAGTACCTTGTATACACATTTGTGATCCATATAGCTTTCCACAGAAAGGGGGTGAAGGTCAGAAGCAATATAATGTTGTGAACATGCACAATTAGATTCAGGTATTTCAAAGACTGATATAAGAGGAAGAAGGAGGTGCAAAAACATCTGAATGAATCAACTCTCAAGGGAAATGCTGGAGAATACAGTATCAATAAAGATGGAAATAAAGAGACCTTTAATTACTTCTGCTGCCTGCATACCAATCCCAATGTGTAAAAGGGTGACAGTGACTCAGAATAAGTCTTTCTACATACTGTATAATTCTATACAGGCTTATTTTAATCTATAAAGCAGGAAAGAGGGCCTAATCTAATTGATTCATAGTTGTAATTACCTGGAATACAGAATGTTTTAGGCCAGTCTTTCCACAGTGCCTTGCCCTTAATAAATGTTTGTTGAGTTGAATGAGAGTTTGGCTAGTACAAAAGTCTTCTTTAAAAAGAATCTGTCAACTCTAAATTTTTTTAATACCTGGAACAGAATTTTTTAAAGTCTGGGTCGTCTTGATTCATAGGAATTGTTACAGTGAATGAGGCACTGAAATGGTGGGCTTCTTTAAGGACTAGGCATACATATCAACTCCTGGAAAAGGATCAGAAGAAGTCCTTAGAGGATCAATGAACTGAGACCAGTATTCAGATTTCAGTAGCCTAGCTCCAGTTCTTAGGGAAGAGAGCTGCCTCACTGTCCTTCCTCCTTCTATGCCAGTTTTTAACCTTCTTTGTGTCATGGACCTCTTTGGCAAATCTTGTGAAGCTTATGAACCCCTTTTCAGAATCACATTTTTAAAAGCATAAAATAACATACAAAGGAAACCAATTATGTTGAAATAGAGTTAATCAATTTAAAAAAAAAAAAAACAACAAATTTACGGGCCCCAGATTCAGAACCTCTGTTCTTTGTCTTAGGCTGGTAATGAATTCATCCCAAAGAAGAAAGGATTGAGATACATTCTGAAATGGAGCCAGAGATAGTTAAAGGTGCAGTGAGTAAGTGAGGGTTATGAGTCACTTAGGTGAGTGGGGAGAGACTGGAGGATGAAATAGACTTTAGGTGGTGCTATTTTTATCCTTAAAATCTAACTGGTGGGAAAAAAAAAACTTCAATCTCACTTTGGAAAAAGTAGTCTCTTTGGGGGTGGGGGTGGTAGACATCTCAAGTAGGCCTCCACTCACTACTTTTCCTGAGAAGTTGTCTTTGGAGGTCATGAAACTCAAGACAAAAGCTGTAACGAATTATTTGTCATATTTTTCAGTTTTTAGTTCTTGGGGGAGGGGGAGAAAAAGGAAGATAAAATAATAGTGCTCTCTTTCCTTCACTGTATGCGTCATTTTTAATCTTCACTTAACCCCCACATCAATCACATCCTTTTCATCCTAAAAAGATCATTATAAAAATTTAGTTTCAGCATCAGCAGCACAAGTGCAATAGAATTCATGCTTCTTGCAATTCTAAAAGCATCTTCGCCTGCTTTTTGCAGACTAAGCTGAAAGAGGCTCAATCTGTTTCCTTTAAGAGATTGCAGGAGAAATGGACCTCTGTTTTGCCAAAAGACAGCTACATGAAGAATGAGCTCCCTTTGAAAGCTCAGAAAATTTGAGATGACTCCCTGGCACTCTGTGGCAGGACTCTGTCCCATTTGGCAGAAAAAAAACCTACCCCACAGGTCTTGGGGTCATTTACACAGTCGTGGCAAATGGCTTTTCAGTGTTAGTGTTGACACTGTTGTGACCAGTGTACCTGCTTATCAATTGAAGGAGACAGGTCTAAGTCAAAATGGTCACCAGGGGATGTTTATCTTGACTCATTGGCATATTGCTTTGTGTATAAGTGGCTCAGTTTCCATCTGTAAAGTGGAGATAGCAGTTATAGTCTTGCTTACCGAGGGCTCTGCTCTGGTGATGAATGAACAAGGCAAAGATTAAGAACGTGGTTGCTCTCCTCTGAAACAAAGCCATATTCTGGTAACAAAGCAGTCTCTCCACAAGAGCCCAAGTTTCAAGTAACTAATGCATTTATAGTTACATTTGTCTTAGCTCTTGAGGATGAACACCCCTTGAGTGCAAGGGCCATCATGGTATCTGTGTACTCTTGTAGCACACTGAGAATGTCTTAACAAACTAAATGACCAACTATTGAGTCATGAATACCAGTGACAACTGGAGTACATCCATAAGGTGGAAGAAATGTAAAATCAATCAAATTTAGCAACTTGGGAATTGTTCAATGGGGAGAAAGCATACACACCAAGTGCTATTAATGCACAACCCAGCTATGTTCTGTGGATCAGAAGTTATGAGTATAATTGTGAGCCAGACACAGGGTTTCCACAAATGAAACTTTTGCATTCAATAGGTAACTAGGCAAAAATTACAAAGTTATAGAAAGGCTTTCTAGATTTCCTCCCAGGCCTTTTAGCATGAGGATAAAATCAAAATTTGACACTAGCTAAAAGAAACCACCACAGGGAAAACATACCTTCATACACAAATATACACACACACACACACACACACATACACCTACACACAGGGAAAAAGGAAGCTGGTGAAACTGATACGAAATCTTACACTCCACAGTTCTTGTCATAGCAAGCAAATGTGTACCTGTGTGAATGCTGATAAAATATATAAACTGGAGGTTTGGAGAGTGGTCACTGGGACCCTAGAGGTCCACAACATAGGAGGAAGGAACAAGGGTTAACAGTCTGGTGAAAGATAAGCCTTTCTAAACAGCTCACGATGAAAAAGTAGAAACATACTTCACATCAAAACCACATAAGTTTACTGTTCCACAAAATGTTCTTTACTCCCTTTGTTTCCTGGGTGGATGTGGCCACTCTCTGTCCCACACTGCAACTCTCCTTTCTAGCTCCTGTTGTGAGAATCACAATTCTCATAATGCTGGTTTTTGCACTCTTCTTTGCCCAACCCTTTGCTTTTTTTTTTTTAACCTGGAAAACAAAAATTCTTTTGGAGATTGTGAGACTGAACACCCTCAACACTATAAAAAAAAAGGAATGACCCAGACTATATAGCGCCAATAGGATGTCATCGCTTTTTAGTACCGCTGCTACCACTGGATGATTTGTTGAAGCTTCTGCTCATCTGAGGGAAGTGGACAGTTGGGGTTCTTTCTGTTGGGCCGTATAATCCCAAATTCCTGGCCGCAGTTGATTTCCGAAGTGGTTTGACACTAGGGAAGGGACTAAAGACGGGTGCTTTTGGATAGCTGGCTTGGGAAGGCTTGACAGTGATTGATGGCTCGGGTTCCTGCTGCGGGCAGGTCTGGTTAGCCCTGGGTTGCGTTTCAGCAGCACTCCCTTCATTAAGCTCCAAAGATTCTAGCTTCAGCTGGACCTCTGCCATGTTTGCATTGGCATCTCTAAACACAGGCTCAGGAGACTGTCCATCAATTGTCCTACTCGTGCTGTCTTCAGAGCTGCCGACATCTTTCCCAGCCTTCTCTATGCTGGTGGGGGGCATATCCTCCACTGCTCCCAGGCCAGCGGGCTTACAGCCTTCATTCTGCTCTTCAATCAGCCCAATGGTGTCCCCACAGCCCAGCTGGCTCTTGGTCCTGCTTATGTTCTTCCTGTGAACACGGATGTGGGTACGCCAAGGAGAGTTGAGTTTGGTCTTAAGGTCTTCATGGGGAATGGGAGACAGTTTGCCTCCTGTGTGACCAGGAATATGGATGACCGCATTTTTGGCAGCTCTGTTGGTTGTTTTCAGTTTCTTTCCCAAAAGAAGGTGATTTATAACTGGAGAATGATTTACCTGAGATGGGAGGAGACTGGTCACTAGTCCTTTATCTGAAAGAAATGTTAAAATGCATGTGAAATGTGCTAAAAGCACAGGGAGACATTTTCATCTCAGAGAGGTTGATTATACACCACCACACAGACATTGTGTAAGAGCCCATCCATCCCTCTACTTAGAGCAAAATAGTATGACTGAGAGCAAAATCATTAGGCTATTCAACTAGAATCAACCCAATAGTAAGCAGATTTATTAAAAGCTGAATTCCATATACCCCATGGATCTGATCCCCTCTTTTCCATTGCTCATGTCCAGGCACTTCATAGAATCATGGACTTAAGCCTGGAGGTAACCTTAAAGGCCATATAGTCCAACCTCATTTTACCGACACAACTAAAGCCACGTGAGGATAAATGACCTGCCCAAAGATACACAGACAGTGATAGAAGCAGGATTCAAAGCCAGGCCTCTCATTCCAAATTGGGTGCTATTTACACTCCACCATCTTGTCTCCTTTAATGGGATAGGGCAATCTATGGCATAAAAGCTTCCCACTCTTCATTTACTAAACACAAGCTACTCCCTGAACCTCACCCTTTGGCATAGTAATCTTTTGTTTACAAGCAACCACCTAAATGGTACAGTACCTAGAAACTGGGAGCTTTGTTGTTGTTGTTTTTTTTAAGCTAACAAGACAAGAAACTGTGACAATAATGGGATAAGAGCTGTCAGAATTTTAAGAGAAAGGAAAAATAAACACATAAGAGCCAGAGGGGTAAGAGATGTCATGGAAATATATCAAAAATTCCATGTAATCACAGTTAACCAGCCTCCCCAATCCTAGCCAAGACAAGTCATCTATACTACTCTTCTTGGACCTCACTCCACATCTGTCTTCTGCTGCCATCATCCCATCCCTTTCTGCTACATATATCCTCTTCAGTCTCCCAATGGTGGTAGCAGCAAGCTGAAGGAAGCTAGGCAAGAAGATCTATCTGTAAACCTTAGAGTTGTGAATATGGCATAATGCCCAATAGCAATCATCTGGTAGTGAATGAGGGTGGGCAAGAGGAAAGATACTGACTGCAGTGGCTACGATTTTCTTTGATATGACAATGACAAGTATCCTGATGAGGGCAATGGAAACAGAGGAGCCATAGTGATTACGAATGTCTAGTCCCTGGTCCCAGTTCTGCTGGGTGAGTCTAAACACAAATTGTACTAACTGCTTCCATGAGATTTATTTCTAAATGTGATACAAAGAAGAAAATGCTGGATTTGAAATCAAAGGACCTGTGTTCAAATCCTACCTTTACTACTTTGTACTGTAAATCTTTGAGCAAACTTTGAGTTTTCTATAAAATAAAACTAGCTTATTCTAAGGTCCCTTCCATCTCTAAATCCATGAAGGTACTTAATTTCCTAGGATCCAGAGCATGACCCAATGGGCCATTTATTAACTAACAGCAATATCCCATAAGCCCAAGCACCCTACTTTTTACTTGCTGATGATTTAAAATTGAGTCTATCCTTTCATGTTGTTTCTCATCTTTCCTCTACTTTAAGCAACAAAAATTCAACTTCTGTTCAAAATCAGTCATGTATCTCTAAAGAATATGGTAAATGCATGTCTTGGTTTAGTTTTGAGAAGATATCATTTTCATTAGGCTATTTGACCAGAATCAAATCAATAGTTAGCAGAATTTATTAAGCCTTCAACCACATTGATGATTGGGATTATGGAAAATCAAAAAATGTTTAACGATCCTTGGAAAAGAGTGTCACAAAATTGTACCAGAAACATGTCACCCTTTGGACACTAAGATTCTACTGACCTACCATGGCAGGGCACATATCTTTGAATGGTTTTTCCAGCAGTGGTAATGGTTTGTGCTGAACTGTCTACTCTCTCTCACTCAGTTTCCCATGTGATCAGGAGTAGAATGGGAGAAAGGTAAACTGAAGTCACGGAATCTATAAATCTATAACTTTGACATCCATAGCACCTTGCCCTAATCAAGAGAGTTCACTGAATTCCATGGCATTTTACTTTCTCATTGTCATGGTACGTCTTTTTAAAGGGTTCAAGTTTGGTGGAAAGTTTAGTAGTGAGTTTGTTACATAAATGACTGGGGTGTGATTTGGTTTACTGATGCTGATTTCATTAAATTTTATTTTCAGGGGCAATAGACCTAAAAAACAAAGGACAAAAACGAGGCTCAAGTCCAAGGATAAAATAGATTTACACTTATCAGAATCAACAGCAAGCCCATCTCCATAAGCCTAGTGATCAAAGACATGTTGAAATACCATTGGTTGAGTGGTCCTTGGAATTTAACAAGACCCCAAGATCTTTTTCTTCTTTGGAGCCTGATAAAACAAGATAAAAATGATATGCTCAGCATATAGTTGCTTCCACAGGACTACAGCAGCTGTATTGCCATTGGCCAGGTGACCAAGGGCTCTTTGATTCATTTATTCACAGTAGTTTCAATCACGGAAAACCAATTCAAGCAAAACTTCACCATTACCTGCCCTGATGTACACCTGGTGAACCTGCTGCTGCTGCTTCTTTTTAATTCGGGAATATTGACGCTTCAGGGCATTGATGTCTGTTGTCATGCGCTCCATCATCATGCTGTTAAAGGCAGCATGGTACTCGCTACGACAAGAATCGATTGCTCCCGGGCTTAGCTCAGCAATGTTATTAGAGCCCAGACTCTGTTCTTCACTTGGATCTACAATCAGGAAAAAGAAAAAGAAAGAAAAAGAAAAAGGGGTTGGTATGGGGAGTGGGATACGGGTAGGAGGTCAATAGGAATAAAATGCAGCATGATCCTTAGAAAGGGAGGAGGAGGAGGAAGAGGATGAAAAGGAAGACAAGGAGAAGGAGGAGAAGTTGAAGGAAGAGGAGGAAAGAAGGAGAAGGAGAAGGAATGAATTTACTTAGCATTTGTTTGGTTTGACTCAGAAAACACTGTACTTCATTTCCTTCTGATGGAAATGACTAGCTTGAAAGCATCGCATAATCATACAAACTCTGCCAATGCATTCTTTTTTTGGAATATAATTATTTCCTTGGATGTCAGGTATGAAGTAGAATGCTACAGTGAATCCTAACATCAAGATCATAGGATCGCAGAGTAATGGACTGATAACCCTAAGATAATCTGGGAAGTCATCAGGTCCAAGCCCTTCATGTTACAGATAGGGAAACTGAGACCATGAGAAATTAATAATTGCAATAATAAATACTAGCATTTATAGAGCACCTTAAGGTTTGCTTATTATTATCCCCAAATTACAGATGAGGAAACTAAGACAGAAGCTAAACTTAAGTAATAATTTAAGGTTTGCGAAGCACTTTACAAATATTATCTGTTTGACCTTCACAACACCCTGGGGTAGGCGCTATTCTTATCTGTATTTTACGGATCAGGACACTGAAGCAGACTGGAGTTATATGGCTTGACCAGAATCATACAGCTAGTAAGTGTCTGAGGCAGGATTTGAACTGAGGTCTTTTTTACTACAAGACCAGCACTCTAACCACTGTATCACCTCACTACCCTATCACAGAATCACAGACTTAAAACTAGAAGGGGTGTTAGCGGTCATCTTATCCAATCCCTTCATTTTATAGATGAGGAAACTGAGTGTCGAAGAAACTGTCACTTGCCCAGGGTCCCATAGCCAGTAAACAAGGAAGTACTTCACAATTTCTTGTTGGGTAGGTGACTGGGTCGTCCTGGCACTTTTTTTTAACGGCTGAAGAACATAGCTGGTCATGCATCCTGGACTTTCAGAAACTAGACTTGAAGGAGTTCAGAGAAAAGATAGGGATGGTCTCAGGGGGGATGGAAGATTCTCAAAAATGAGGTTCTGATGATTTTAGGTCAGACTTTATTGGCACAAATCAATTCCTCAGTCAGGAAGCTCTCTCTACCAATGCAGAGCAATACCATCTTAGCAACTAAAAGTCTTAAAAAGTTTCCTGGGGGCCCAAGGGGCCCAAGGTCATACAGCTAATAATGTGTCCCAGGCAGAAGTTAAACCTAGCTCTTCCTGACTGTGAGGCCAGCTTTCTACTGGCCACAATATGCTGTAATTGACTATTACAATTACGTATGTACATTTTACAATTATGAGCTATCCTAATGAGAAAGGGAAGACGATACTGAAAGATTTTACAATCCTCTTTCTTATTCTTTGCATATTGAAACACTTGATTTCAATAATTGTTAAATTCACAATGAAAAATAATTGTTAAATTAGTGTCAAGAGCTGCAATGAGGTCAAGGAAGATGAGTATTGAAAATAAAAAGACTATGATCCAATGATTTGACATTTGGGGGTCACTTAAAACCTCACTGTCCTCACTTGAGGACAGAGTTGGGAAAGAAGAAATAGAGACATCAGGAACAGACAACTGTTTAAGATTTTCATTTTTAATGTGACTTTAATAATCATCAACATTTCAATATATAAAAAAAAAAACCAAGAAAGTTTCTTGTATAAGAAACTGTGTCTTTCTCTTAGGTTTTTTTTTTAAATACCTGAAGATCAAGTTTAACAAGGTGGTAACAACACTGCACTAGTTGTTTGTATAGATCATTTTTGTTAAGAAGTTTAGCAGACTGCAAATTAAAACAACTCTGAGCTACCACTCCACACCTATCAGATTGGCTAATATGACAGAAAAGAAAAATGACAAATGTTGGAAAGGATGTGGGAAAATTGAGACATTAATGCACTGTTGGTGAATCTTTAAAGCAATCTGGAACTATGCCCAAAGGGCTATAAAACCATGCATACCTTTTGACCACTACTAGGTCTGTATCCCAAAGACACAAAAAAACAAAAAAGAAGAAGACCTACATGTACAAAATATGTATAGCCGCTCTTTTAGAAATGGTAAAGAATTGGAAATTGAGGGGAACGTCCATTAATTGGGGAATGGCTTGGCCAAACAAGTTGTTGTATATGATTGATGGAATACTATTGTGCTATTAAAAAAATGACGAGCAGAATGCTCTCAGAAAAACCTGGAAAAACTTACATGAACTGATACAGAATGACATGAGCAGAACCAAGGGGACATTGTACATAGTAACAGCAATATATTACGATGAACGACTGGGAATGACTTAGCTATTCTCAGTAATACAATGATCTAAGACAGTTCTGAAGGATTTATGATAAAAAATGCTATCTATCTTCAGAGAAAAAACTGACAAAGTATGAAAGCAGATTGAAGCATACTTTTTTACTGTCTTTATTTTTCCTGGGATTTTTTTGCTTTTGTTTTTCTTCACAACATGACTAACATGGAAATAGATTTTTCATGACTGCAAATGTATATATCTATATCAAATTTCCTTCTCAATGAGGGGAGGAGAGGAAAAAAGAGAATTTGGAACTCAAAAAAATGTTTAAATGATTGTTAAAAATTGTTTTTACATGTAATTAGGGGAAAATAAAATATTAAATTAAAAAAATTTGTTTTTATATGTAATTAGGGAAAAAATAAAATATTAAATTAAAAAAATAAAAAAAGAAGAAAAATTAAACCTATACCCTTTGACCTAACAAGACCACTACATGGTCTGTTTCCAAAGATGATTAGAGAAAAAGTAAAAGAACCTATATGTTCTAAAATGTTTCTAGTAGCTCTCTTTCTGGTGGCAAAAAACTAGAAATTGCAGGGATGCCCTTCAATTGGCTGAACAAGTTGTGGTATATGTTATGTAATTGTGATGGAATACTACTGTTCTATAAGAAATGATGAGCTCAATGATTTTAGAAAAACATAGAAAGACTTGCTCAGAATAATGAAGAATGAAATGAGCAGAACCAAGAGAATATTGTATACAGTAATAGCAATATTGTTTTAAGAATGACTTTGAGCAAGTAAGTTATTTTGACTATTATAAATACCCAAATTAACTATAAAGGATATGTGAAGAAAGATGCTATTTGCATCCAGAGAAAAAACAGATAAATAGAAGTATGTATAGAACAAGTTTACATATATATACATATATAGTATACCTATATATGTGTATAGACCTGTGTGTGTGTGTGTGCATACCTATTTGTAGATGATATGTCATATTGGTTCTGCTTCTATATAATACCTGACCTGGCCTGATGTTGTGGGGATCCATCACACTATTCTGTCCTTCAGCTACTAAGGATTAGGGCTCATGAATAAACTCCCCAAACAACTCAATTAACTCAACTAGCCCTAATAAACTTACATATATTTACTACCAAGCTGGTCCAGGCCCCTCTTTCTTTGGTATCTCAGTATTCTCTCAGAGTCTGCATCCCTACAATTGTCATATCAAGATGGTAGCCATCTTGGTTGGGGGAGGAGAAAAAAAGGAGCTTACATGATACTTTTTGTTGTATACTTGAAAGGAATAGCAGGTTGTGCATAGTAGATTTGCAGTTTCATGTGCAATCATCTTTTTTATTGTACTATGTTATGGAAATGCTTGTTTTATTCCATAAATTAAAAATAAAGGAAAAAGTTTAGCAGAAAAAGGGAGAAAGATGAGATAGTAGTTAGGTGGATTAGAAGCAGAGGTGTGCTGGAACCAGCTGGTACAGGAGCTGCTTATTAAATTTTTCAGTGGGAGCATTTGTGGATCAGAAACTTAAAAATGCTACAAATCAGGGTTTGATTTATTGCTTTATTAATTGTCTAGAGTAATAGGAAAATGTAAACAATACAGATTAAACTTAAAAGTTGATATATGTACTTTTTTTCCCTTGGAGAGCTAATCATTATACTCTTACCAGCACACCCCTGATTAGGAGGGTCAAAGGAAAACTTTTTTTTTTTAAGATTAAGGAGATTTGACCATACTCAGAAGTTAAAGTATTAGATTCAGAGTCAGGAGGACTGAGTTCAAATTCCACCTCAGACACTTACTAACTGGGTAAACCTGGACAGGAAATCATTTAATCTCTCTAAACCTCAGTCTTTTTCATCTGTAAAGTGGAAATGATAATAGTACTCCCCTCCTAGGGTTGTTATTAGGATCAAATGAGATACCATTTATAATGTGCTCTGCAAACTTTAAGAGCTGTAGAAATGCTAGTTATTATTATAATAATATGCTATTATATATGTACTTACATATAATCATATATCATCTATCATATAATTACATACATAATATAACATATATAATAAAATTATAATAACATGGCATGATCTTATATTTTATTAATATATTATTATAATATAACAATATATTTCACCATGTAGATTTTATCATTATGATATATGACATATCATAGTTAATACCATAATTTTGGTAATATATAATCTATAACATTAAAGTGTTTCAACAGAGAAGGGTACCAGATTTGGTACTTACTGCCCATGTGGCCTCTGGCAGATCACTTAAAGCTCTTAGCACAATGTCTGGCGTATATATCAATCACTACATAAATGTTGAGAATCATCATCATCATCATTATTATTACTTATCAAGGTCTGAGTTTACTCATGTATAGGTATAGGCCAGACCCTAGCAATGTGACCCAAGTCTCACAGAGAATGTAAACTACCTTGAATAAAAGTAAAACAGCAAAAGAAGCTCCAACTACCCCACAGGAACACTTGCACGCGACCCTAGGCCATCCCTGGCTAGGTGCCTTCTTGGTTCTGCTTCTATATAATACCTGACCTGGCCTGATGTTGTGGGGATCCATCACACTATTC